ATAGTAAGGGAAAAGACCAAAGGCAGTCACCAGGTTTCAGATTGGGTATCTACCTCAGTTGCAAAGAAGAAAGATGAATTTTCCCCTGCCATGTAAATTACATGATATTTGAGTTTGGTGAATGGAAATATCTCAAAATGCAAGATAACTAATGTATTGCTAATCTCAGAAGAAATATTATAGGTACTCATGTATTATACTATGAAGAACAAAAGTACTGTGCACTTTAATTAGCAGAGCATTTGTTCTCAATTTTCTCTGGCAAATTAATAACTTTGCATTAAAGTTTCCTTTTCTGTAACATTATGGTAATAGTTTCAGACTTACCAAATGATTACAAAATGCTTACAATAATATATGTGAAAGTGTAACATGGAGAAGTAGGAGAGAAATAAGCTTTATTAAAATATTTCAGTATGATTTACCTGGCTTCCAAGTATGAGCATTCTATTATGTCAACATAAAGAGAAAGTTTTTATATCAATGACCAAGTTCATATTTACTTTTTCTCCCAGAAGATGATCTCTTAATGCCTTGCATTACAAAAGAAAGCATTCATTGACACCAAAATGATAGTAGTTAATAGTAATTAGCTTCTTTTTCTTTTCAGTTTGGTGAAAATATTTTGATAAACCCTCTATAAGAATACTATTATATAAAATAACATAATATATGAATAAAATATTTTATGTTAGAATGTGTAAAAGTGCATTTTAAAAAGTTAATGTATTATATTTTTTCTAGACAAGAATTTTTCTGTTTTACTTCATTCCAGACACTCAATATATAATGAACAGACTTACTAATATTTCTAAACCTTACCTGATTTTTAATCTATTGATATTTTCTACTACAAGGTAAAAATAGAAATGAAAATAAAAAGCAGTCTCTGAAAGCCACAAATTATGATCATCTGAATGAAAAATTAAGTGTGTGTGCATATGTGTGATCCAGGCACAGGAGAGTGCATAATTTCAAAAGGAAGAGGTCTTAAAGGGAACATAATTCTATGTTGGACCAAGTCTTTATGAATACAACCCCATTAACTAATTATACTGTGTGCTGAAACACATTACTGAAATCTATTATGTGAAATAAAACTTAGTATTGAAGCATAATTTCCACATACTGTGGAGAGTTAATTATTAAATATATTATCCATTGCACAAAAAACAGTGTGGATAATGATGTTTTTGCAGGGCCCAAGTGTGAATGACAGAAAACAAATGTCACCATCAGCCTATTTCACACTGATAAAATTGTTTCATTAGATTTTACTTTTGCAGCATACCTTTTTAAATAGACACAGAAAGTAATACATTAATACATTCTCATTGTGTTAAATTGAAAAAATACAGGGAAATCTTGCCAGTAATCTCTGTTGTCTCCTTCCCATCCAGTGTTAAAATTTTTGAGTACTTTTTCTAGATATTTTATGTGTATTGCTCCTGTATTTTAAATTTATAATTACAATTTTAATAATAAATAAAATTTAATTAATTTTAAAAAATAAAATATATTTTAATAATAAATGTGATTTGTTTTAGTAATAAGTTTTCATTCAATTTTAATAATAAAATATAATTCAATTTTAATAATAAATACAATGTAATTCAATTTTTAATAATTAATAAAATGTAATTTAATGATAAAAATAAGTTTATTGTTAACAGTTTAGTAATTTAATTAAGTTACTATTTAATTTATTTTTATAAATTAAAACTACAGTTGATCCTTGAGCAATGTGGGGGTTAGGGAAGCCGACCTGCACAGTTGAAAATCCAGGCATAACTTACAGTTGGCCCTGACTATATACATGGCTCCACATCTGTGGATTCAGCCAACTGTGGATTGTGTAGTACTGGAGTAATCACTACTGAAAACAATCTGTATATAAGTTTCCCCATGCAGTTCAAACCCATGACCCTCAAGGGTCAACCGCACAGGAGCAATACGTATAGTGCATATACTCTTCTTCTTCCCTCACTTCACATTATATTGAGAAGATTACCCCATGTAATATAAGTCCTTTAATTATGGTTTTATTTGGTATATAATTTCCTCAGAACTTCTCTTGCAATTTTGTTAAATTTATTGACTTATTTGTATAAAATTAGTATCTTCATAAGGAACATTATTTCCATCCAGGTAGATAGCATTTTCCTCTTTTAAAACATGATTTAAAAATCTCAGTGGCATCCTATTCTTCATTTCACATAGGCCCATGCACGTTGCTTGTTCAGTTCATTGCTAGGGTTTTTCTTTGCTCTGTGGATAAGAACTCTTATTCTATTCTGATTTCTAACTGGTTATTGCTGGTAGAGAGGAAGAGCTATCCATTTGTCTGTTTGTTTTGTCCACAGCTACCTTGTTACATTTGCTTACTAGTTGACTCTCTTGGGTTTTCTAAGTAGAAAAATGAATCATAAGTCAATAATAAAGTATTTCACTCTTTTCAGATATTTGTATCTCATACTTTTTTTGACTTACTGAGTTAGTGACAGTTTCTAGAATAAATTATAGCCATGATAGCAAGTATCCTTGGTTTTGGGATTAATAATAATTCTGCTAATGTCTCATTGTTGAATCTGATATTTGCCAGCTATCTTTACACAGCTATTCTTTATGTTATTAAAAAGTTTCTTTCTACACCTTACTTGCAAGAATTCATATATTTAAATCAAGAAGAGCTGTTAGATTTTATTAAAAAATCAAAATTTCTCTGGATGCTCATATGCTTTTTTTACCTATAATCTATAATAATAATGTTAAGAATAAAAATAGCCAAAATATATTCAAGATAGTACTTACCAGGTACTAGCTAAGCATTACATAAAATATTTCACTTATGGTTACCAAAGAGGACAGGGGGAAGAGGAATAAATTAGGAGTGTGGGATTATCAAATACAAACTACTATACATAAGGTAAATAAGCAACAAGGATTTACTATATAGCACAGAGAACTAAATTCAATATTTTATAATAACCTATAATGGAAAATAATCTGAATATATATATATATATACATACATGTAAATATCCTTCACTGTACACCTGAAACTAACGCAGTATTGTAAATCAACTGTACTTCAACAAAAAAAAGATTTTTTTAAATCCTTGTAACAACTCTTTTAGGTATATGCAATTATCTCCAAGTAATAGTGATTGTATCCACATTATACACCTAAGTTCCTAGTAATGAAGTATACTTACATTGGGGAATAAACCCTACTTGTTTTTAGTGATTTATTTGACTATATAGGATTTTTACATCTTTAGCAATACAGAAATTTGCTGATAGCATTACAGACAGTTAATTCTAATCACAGTCCTATGAGGGAAATATAATAATCTCCAGTTTCCAGGTGAAGAAACAAGGGCAAAATGAAATCACGAAGAGGTAAACATTTTTTCTAATGTTTCATAGCTAGTAAATAATGAAGCTGAGATTTGAACCCATAGTAGGAAAAGAAAAGAAAAGGAAGCAGTAAAATACCTTTGAAAGTCTCAGCTGATGGATTGCATGTTTGTGTCCCTACAAAATTCATGTGTTGAAACTGTAATTCCCAACATGATAGGATTTGATACGGAGCCTTACGAGTAATTAGGTCATGTGGTGGGGCTCTCATGGGGCAGTTAGTGCCCTTGTAGGAAGAACATGAGAGAGGTGGCTTCCTCTCTCTTTGCTATGTAAGGATATAGTGAGAAGGCAGTTTACAAGCCAGGAAGTGAGCTCTCACCAGACACTTGATCTTGGGCTTCCAAGCCTCTCCAACTGTGAGAAATAAATGTTTACTGTTCAGGCCACCCAGTCGACAGTATTTTGTTACAGCAGCCTGAACTAAGATGCTTAGAAAGAAGAATACACACAAAATGGAGCACACCAGGATGGTTAATAGCATGGAATGTGAAACTTCTGCTTTTTTTTTATGGACGCATAGGAATTATTTACATATTTTGGATACAGTTCTTAGTTGGTTTCATGAATTGCAACTACATTCTCCCACTCAGTGCTTGCCTTCTTCCTGTCTTCATGATGTCCTTTCGCAAAAAGAAGTTGTAATTTAGTGCAATTAGGTACTTCTTGTGTTCTGTTTAAATTTTTTTTTTGCCTGTTTCAAGGTCACAATGATGAACTCCTATGTTTTACTCTAAGAGCTTACTTCTTACATCTCACATTTAGATCTGTAATCCATTGTAACTGTTTTTGTGTGAATGACATGAAGTAAGGATAATAGTTAATTTTTCCCACGTGGACATCCAACTGATCCAGCATTGGTTACTAAAAAGACCATCCATTCTCATCTGCATTATAATGTTAACTTTATCATAAATCAAGTGACCATATATTTAGAGATCTGTTATTGAATTGGATACTCTATTGGTATCTTTTCACCAATGCCACAGTGTGTTAATTACTGTAGCTTTATGCAAAGACATAATTTCAGGCAATGTAAGTTCTTATGCTGTTTTCCTTCTTGGATACTTCTTTGGCAGTTTGATTGCTGTCCTGCTTTTATTCTAGAAATTCTCTCCACCATCTTCCTAGGGGTGCTCGCCATAACTATTCTGTGTTGAATTCGTTGTGGCTTGGGTCTTACATGTATTTTCTTTATCTACTTACTCATGTGTGGAACATTTTCTGGTGGCTTCCTAAAAATGGGTTAGTTAGAGATAAATATTTTTGGAAAGAATTCATGTCTGAGAATGTATTTATTTACTCTCAGAATGCACAAATATGTCTGTCTGTAGCCAAAAAGGAAAAAGAAGTCTGAGCACAAGTGTCTGTGTTCGACTGTCTTTGAACCAGTAAACCTTCAGTGGCTCAATTTAACAAAATTAAAATATAAGTAATACTATTAGAAAATGCACACAAAACTGTGACTGGAAGAGGTGTTTTGTCCATACTATATAAAAAAGCTCCTAAAAATCAATAAGAAAAAGACAAACAAACCAAAAGAAAGGAGAAGAAAGGGGAAAAAAGATAGAAGTCCCCTCATATTCATGGTTTCACTTTCTCAATTTCAGTTACCAGTGGTCAGCCGCAGTCCGAAAATATTAAATGGAAAATTCCAGAAATGAACAATTCATAAGTTTAAATTGCACACCATTCTGAGTAGTAATATGAAATCATGCACCATCCTGCTTTGTGCTGCCTGGGATGTGAATTACACCCCATCAGAAGAAAGAAGAAGGGTGAGTACAGTACAATAAGATATTTTGAGAGAGAGAGAGAGAGACCACATTCACATAACTTTTATTACAGTATATTGTTATAATTGTTTTATTTCATTATTAGTTGGTATTGTTAATCTCTTATTGTGCCTAATTTATAAGTTAAACTTCATCACAGGTATGTATAAGAAAAAACCTAGGATCAATAGTGTTTAGTAATATATGCAATTTCAGGCACCCACTAGGGGGTCTTAGAAAGTGTCCCCTGTGGGTAAGGGTTGGGGGACACTGTAACAGGAAAAAGAAAAAGTGGTTTGGGTGAAAAGACATTTGCAAATTACTCAGCATCCCTAATAATCAAAGAAATCCAAATGAAACCAAAAATAAGGTAATGTTGGTCTTATTAAATTTCAACATGATGATATCTATACTTATAAGATACATAGAAATAGGTATATAGTTTCAGGAGACAGTATTAGAGTATCTACTAATTTTTTAAAAAAATCAAATTTTACTAGAACTTTTTCCCTACTAAAATGCTTCCACATTTTACATATAAGTGGTAAAAGACTATTCACTGCAGTGGTGTTTGTACCAGCCCCTAAATGGAAATAACAGAAAAGTTTATCTCTGCGAAATGGTTAAAAATATGAGAACATTCTTTTAATGAATTACTTGTATGCATCCATAAAAAAAGGAATGAATAGAATAAAAGAGAAAATAATAATGCTGGTATGAAAAGATGATTAAGATAATTAATAAGTATAAAAATCAAGTAGCAGAGCAGTTATATAAAATGATCTCATTTTAAAATAATAATAAATCAGATTACTTAGAGAAGAGCCTCAAAGAGTAGTTACCTTTGGGAGCGATACTTACTTTTTTGTTAGTTCCGTAATGCTTGCATTTTATGTAACTGTACATTTGTAATCTGAAAAATGTTTCTGCTAAAAAAATAACAAAAGATTTCTAGGTCTTCTTTGATAATCTGTTCTAGTATTTTAGTCAGTCCTTGAGAATATCTCTTTTTATTTATTTTTCACTGTCTCAGGGTAAGGATGTGTGCTCTTCTTTGTGTTTTTACGGAGTTAAGATGAGAATAGTTGATTGTGTCCTCATTAGATGTTCGAAAACAATTATATCACAACTACTTTAACCTTTCCTTTTGAATATTTAGTATTTCATGATTGGAAAGAAAGGTGGCAAGATAACTTATTTTAAGAAACTATAAGATTCAAGCTAATTGACTTATTTTAGATATTAACTTGTATCTTTGCTTTCAAGTGTGGGCCAGAATAGGAAATATCTTAAGAGCTAATCTAACTTTCCACATTAATTAGTTTTGCTTTTTGAGCAACATTGGCCCAAATTTAACTGTAAGTGAGGATTTAGCAGTTAAATTCCTTCCTGAGTCAAAATCTCATCTAATTCTTTAAGGACGGGGATTATAATACATAACTTGAAATATGTACCTTATAGATACTTTCAAAACTAAGCAAGCACAAATAAAAGGAATTTATATTAAAAATTATGTTTTAATGTATATCCCTCAATGCAGATATATAATTATAGAGTTAATGCATGCAATTCCTGAATGCATTGTCCTGGTTGTCCCATTTTGGTGAAGTTATCATGTCTTAGTACTTTTCCAGTGGAGCAAGAAATTAGTTGGATTGCCAATGTATTTTTCCTTCCTATTGTAAAAATTTGGTCATTCTAGTTCAGAAACAACTGCTGCTAGACTTCAAATTTAAATATTTATGAGGAGGGAAATTCAAAACATGTCCTGTTGTGGAAGGAAGCACACGCTCTTGCTTGATTTGTCTCGGGGGAATCTAGGAAGCACTTTTCTCACCTTGTTTTCTCATCTAATTTGTACAGAGACAAATTTCATTAATATTTACACCAAAATATTAAGAGAAACAAAATTTCAAACACAAAACCTTTGATGTGGGATGTTTCTTTATGGCTCTGTACTTGCCAGGCTCGTTGCTAGCACTGTATCTTGACGAAACCATCAATTCTGACTAGAAATGTAACTGGAACTCAACAGAGACCTCTAGGGAATCCTGTGATACAAACATGGGGTAACAACTGAGACGTCTGCCATTCTGAAGAGACACCTGGGAGTAGCTTGGGTCCAAACTGTGAAGAACAGTTTAGATCCCAAGCACTTCTTAGAAGTGAAGAGAACCATTTGGATGACCCCTACGGGCAAGCTTAGCTAAGTCTAAGATTAGCTATGATTCGCTTTTAGATAACAAAAAGACGGTAGACTGAGAACAGGCAGCAGGCTGAGGGTAAAGTTCCAGAGTCTGATAAAAATGGGGAAGTTCAGGTTTACAGTGGCTCACATTTCCTCTGATGCTCTCTTCCATGATGTGGAAATTTCTGTTCTGGATGTGAGTTACAGCAGTGAACAGAAAAGACATGGAAGTTCTGTCTTTGTGGAGAAAAAGTGCTAGCAAGAAGGACAGGCATCACACAAATAATCATAAGGTTCTGTGAATTAAAAAGAAAGAAAGAAAGTACAGGGTGCTATGGAAACATAAAACAGATAGATCTTGGCTACAGGGTCTCAGAGAAAGTGTCTCTGGAAAGGTATTGTTTAAACTGAGATCTGAAGTAAGATTAAGCATCAGCTAGTTCAAAAAAGGAAGGGCTGGACATTCCAGGAAGACAATGTTCCAAAGTTCACTGTCTGAATAGGGAAGGCTTGGTACAGTCTCCCCAGTGTGTAGAACTTCCATTGGTTTTTGTCATACTGTGCTTTGAGTGTCTTCCTTGAGATACAGTGAACTCCTGGAAAAGGAGAGTATGCCTTAGCCACTGCTAAATCTGCAGGACTAGGACAGTGCACGTAGGAGATCTTCAGTAAATGTTAAGCGACTATATAAAATGTTTAGTTGATTGGGACAGCTACAAGAATGCTCACTTTCTCCCTGGTACTAAGTCTGAACTTTGGGTCAATGCCCACTGATTAGACAATAATACCTCAGCTTTGCTCTTAAGATCTGTGTTGTCGGGTTTCCCAAAAGTGTGGTTAATAATGAAGACACATTATGGAATATAATTTTCTACTCATTTATCATCTTTCTATTACAGATTAGACCTTTAATAGAGTATCTATGAATAAAATACTTTACTGTAAAATAGACATTTTGACATGTGCACATGTCAGAGGAACATTTTAAAGTATAAAAATGGAAAACTATAAAAATCTATTAAAAATAAGTATTAATTTTATTGATCATTATCTCAACATTTTCTTAATTTAGGCTCACAGATTCATAGAGCAGTCTCTGACAGTGGTACGAACTGTGTTATAACGATGAAAACCCAAAAGTCCTTGGGAATTAGGTACACACACACACACAGAGTCACTTGCATACCCACACATGTTTATGTATATGTATTTCGAGTACTTTGGAATTTCAGATCTACGTAGAATCAAAAACTTTCAAAGAAATTCTCTAACAGGAGGAACCTAATTACTTTCACACTTATTAGAAAAAAATAGATCAATTGTATTAGTTGTAGTCTTTTTGGGTATTTGTATCAATATTCCCTTTTTTCTTCTCCCAAATAGAGAAATGACAACATATATAGTGTGAATCACTGGTCCAAATATAAACCTTATCCTGCTCTTTGTGTTTTCAAGCATAGTTTTCTAACCAAAAAAATCCAATTTGAGATATCCTCCAAATTTCTCTCATTCATACCTTAAATGCAAATTATGCTTAAACAGAATACAGGAAGGTTTTTTTAAAATGGATTCTCAGTGTCTTCCAAATGACATGGTTTCAGAAATCATCTTTGCTTTTTTATTTTGAAATCTGCATCCCAACAAGTTCTGTTTTTAATTATGCTAAACAGGAGGCTCTTTGGCATACGGAGATTACTCTGCAGGTTAAAGTAGACTAGAGTTTAAAATAATTTCTAGTTAAATTTTTTCAAATACCAATTGATTGCTTAAGACTTTGTCTTGCCTTTATTTATTTTTGAGTCTTCAGGGTGGAGCAGTGTATCTAGCACATAGTAAATGCTCAATAAATGACTGTTAATTAAATGAAAGTTGAGACTGCAGATACAAAAATCCTTTAGAATACTTGCATTATCGGAATTTTATGTAGTTCAGTTAGAATGTTATCTGAGATTCTCAGTTTAGGTTCTATCAAGATATCATCAATAACAGTAACAAGCCTTATTATTTGGGAGTGACAACATATCTTGCTGTTTCTTTAGTGACTCATATGCCACAGTACATAATGTTTCTGTTTGATAACGAAGCACTGTGTCTTCTAGACAGTATGCGAGACGTGATGATTTAAGTGGCTGTGTTTAAAAATAACTTCCAAGCAGCCTCACTAAATGAACATGCCATACAATGAGGACTAAGTGAAATGTTTGGTTTTCAGATTGAAATTATTGGTAGCAAGTCTAATGTATTTTTATTGTGTTTAAAGCATTTACATGCCTATAATTTCACTCACTGATTTAAAACAAAAGTTTTATTATAATAAAGTATAGGGTACGTGGCTGTTCCTTACTTGTTTTTCTTATGTACAATTTAAGGCAGAATGGATAAAAGTATCTATTTTTGGTAAGCAATCTAAGGAAAAACCACCAAATACTCAAACAATGTTTATTCATGCAAGTAGCATGACTATATTAACAAGATACCCAAGTGCATTTTAACAAGGGAGGAGATGGGAAGAAAACTCTTTTCTTGAACATCCACTATATGTTGGTTTTATTGAAGTGTTTTAGTCGGTTCAAGCTGCTTTACAAAAATAGCATAAACTGGGTGCCTTATAAACAACAAATTCTGGAAGCTGGGAAGATCATGATACCAGCTGGTGTCTGGTGAGAGCCTTTTTCCTGGTTCATAGCCTTCATAGCCTTCTTACTGTGTCCTCACATGGTGGAAGGCACAAAGATCTCTTTGAAGCCTCTTTTATAAGCACACTAATTCCATTCATGAGGGCTCCACCCTCATGACCTAAGCATCTCTCAAAGGC